TGCGCAAATTGAAATTGCGAATTGAAAATACACCTAATGGAAACATCAATTTCGCAAAAAACGCCCATATATCGCAAAAAAAAGTTTTTATGCTCGCATGAGGTGGTTTTTCAGGCAATTCGGAAAAGGAATATTTCGCAAAACTGCAATGGAAACGTTTATTTCTGCATTTTCAGATCACATGGCATACCGAAAAAGTAATATGATCATTTTTCAACTTATTATAACCTTTAAGAAACACGTCATACGTGGCCGATCTCAAGTATAAGGGGCTTTCCTTGCCATTAATGTTTGTATATCCCCTTGTTTACACTTGCATTACGGCTCTGACACGGCCAGCGGAGCTGATTGCGGCCACTCTAGTTAATGCTGATGTTTATACCAACCGTGCCATGGCACGTTTCAGAAGAGGCACTCCATTTTGCGCAAATCTGTAATGGAAACGCAGCTAATGTGAAAGGGTATTTTGCCTAGCAACACCTTATCAACCAAACAGACAACCTTAGTAACCACCTAGTAACTACTTAGCAGCCATACAGCAATACCTTAGCACTTTCCGAGGAACACAACACTCTACAACATAGAACATTTTAGCAACGCCCTGGCAATTGCCAAAGAAAGTTCTAGCAAGTCTAGCACACCCTGCCAACTACTCAGAACACTGCAGCAATCGCTAAATCTATCTCACTCATAATGCTGTATAGATCTTAAACTACTTAAAATGCACAAGGGTGATTTAACCTTCAGACTTCTAGGTGTTTGAAAACTTTCGACAACTCTAGCCAACATTAAAGTTTGTCTTGAGGAGCTTTACCGTTCTAGCTAATAATATTAGCACACTTGTCGAGACAAATGAGACCGCATATGTCTGTCAGTATCATCCAGTGTGCAATTACTGAATGTTAACTTCTTCTATCCTGTCAACAAACAATGGTTGCATGCCACAGTAACTAGGAGACTGGTTGTTAAGGTTCCACCCATGGCATGAGGTCACAGTTTGTGGTTTGTAAAACAACCATTTTTGAAGACATAGATGTCTTTTCCCCTTTTCCATCCATCTATTCTGGGACAGTCATCCAGACTCTTCAGCCCAGACTGTTGCTTGTAAGTGTCCATAGCAAAGAAACAGATGAGAATTAAATGAAAAGTAATTATAGACATTTTCTTAAGAAAAAAACTAGCAAATGCGTCCCTCAACAAGTGTCTTAAACTGTGCTCTCAAGTTTGTCAAGTCTGCAAACAAAATCTTAAATATTTATCATCAAATGTATTCAAGATACATCAATTGTCTCATTTGTGTCTATGTTTAAGGAATCTCAGGAGGAAACAAATTTGATACATCCAACATCTAGACCTGTTGTACTTATGGGATTGGGTTCTAGTATACCCTTTTCGTATTCCAGTTATACTCCAAACTGGTGTCACTAGTCATTTTGCCCATGGAATATGGTCTGGACCGAAGTAAGTTAATTTAGCATTCTTTTAATGCACATGGTTGAAAGCAACAACATGACTGTGTTTTGACTTTAGTCAGTCTCGTGGCTTTTCCAGACTAATGTGACACCACCCATCACGTGTTTGAGGCTTTTCTCAAAAATGTCTATGCATCAGCTAAAACTTTCTCACTACATTCATCCTAGAACAGTTCGTTACTTAGATTTATATGTAATTGGTAAATGCAATTAAGCAATTACCTGTAAAATATACATTCATCCTTTAAAAGATTGTCTTACATATTTTAAATATGATAGTGTTTTTATGTTTTTGCACAAGACATGTGAACTGTATTCTTTATTCAAATTAAACTGAATGAAACACTGAAAATATAAACAAATATAGCATTAATAAAGATGAACTCTCAGCTGAATTAAACTAAGCTGTAACCTTAACCATGTGCCAAACATAGCCTGTCAGCTTCTGCGGGAGTCTGTTGTGCTGATGGGTTTGTACAATGTTCATTCCCAGCCGCTGTTTCCAAAATTCTGTGAAGAGACTGGTTTAATTACATACAACTGGATGTTGTTTTGTTCTGGATTCAAAATGACACAGAGGAAAACACTACCCTGTTATTAAGATCGACTATTCTTAAGACACCACTAAAGGAGAATGAAAACAAATGTGGAGTGTTATTTGGTGAACTGTCCTTTAAGTGATTTTGGCTGTATTTCCTTTGTGGTATTTTAAATATATTTTGTTTGTTCGAGAATAGAGTTTGCTTGTCAAATCAAGGCATATGTTGTTACAAATATGTGACAACATATGTTACCCTTGCGAAATGAATAATTGTATACCTATTTTTTTTTAATCAAAAATACTAGAAACTGGTGTGTCCACCCTTTTATTCTCAGTATTGCATAGAAATAAACTGGGAGTACATGATATTTGACCAGGGTTGCATTTCTCAGCTTGTTTTACTTGAACTTAGTGCTGCTTTTGACAGTATAGAACACAACAATATTACATATTAGTCTATTTTAGATTCTACCAGTTAGTTTGTGTAAATGTATCTGTGTAAAATATGGTGCTCCGATGCTAAAGAAGGGTATTCCACAAGGCTCAGTTTTAGGTCCTTTGGTTTTCTCCTTGTACATACTCCCTTTAGGTGATTTCAATTATTAGAAAACGTGGCATTTCATTGTTATGCAGACTATACACAGCTTTCATCTAAATTGATCTGTGTGATCTGTGAATGTTTGCACCAACTGATGGCAATTTTGCTCCAACACTTACGTTACTTATGTCCTGAATAGTGTTAACTGCGCTGAGAAATCTGTGCATGGAGTGGTTTGAAATTGCCATTACTCACTGAGCTCAGCACAGTTTGTCCCAAAAACTAGTTTTATGTGTGAATTTTTGGCCCAATCACAACCAGGTCCCTTGCAGATTAATTATTCTATGCATCTGTATGTGTGTTTACAGGCATCATGGTGCACTCTGAGAGCTGAGTTTGTTCATCTGAACCCTGCACAGCTGCATCACATGCTGAGAGAGTACAACACGGCTCGGATGTGCCCTCCGTGCTGGACGCCATCTCCAGAGGATGCAGCAGCTGCCCTCAATACCTGTGAGCCCAAATATGAGCACACAAACACTTTGTTTTGTAACTGGATGATACAATGACAATATTTAACCATTGTCATTTCCAAAATCTCTTGTAAAGCACCATTTCTGTTTTTTAACATATAGTGAAGTGAATTATTGTTGAATTTATTTTATAAGATTAGGCTCGAGTGATGTCTTAAATGCTTTTCTTTAGCTCACTGAGATTCTCTGTTCTTCTGCATGAGTGCCTGACAACAAATGTTTTCTCTTAGCTAATATCCTGGAAAGGTTCGACAACCATCCTCCTCTAATCCTGCCCAGCAGCATTTTTAATCTGGAGCTGGGAAATCCCATCACAGAGCCAGGGCTGTTCACTCCTCTCCGGCATCTGCAGGAGTTTATCCAGTCTCTCCCAGACAGCCAGACACAGTCTTTTCTCAAAAATGTCTATGCATCAGCTAAAACTTTCTCACTACATTCATCCTAGAACAGTTCGTTACTTAGATTTATATGTAATTGGTAAATGCAATTAAGCAATTACCTGTAAAATATACATTCATCCTTTAAAAGATTGTCTTACATATTTTAAATATGATAGTGTTTTTATGTTTTTGCACAAGACATGTGAACTGTATTCTTTATTCAAATTAAACTGAATGAAACACTGAAAATATAAACAAATATAGCATTAATAAAGATGAACTCTCAGCTGAATTAAACTAAGCTGTAACCTTAACCATGTGCCAAACATAGCCTGTCAGCTTCTGCGGGAGTCTGTTGTGCTGATGGGTTTGTACAATGTTCATTCCCAGCCGCTGTTTCCAAAATTCTGTGAAGAGACTGGTTTAATTACATACAACTGGATGTTGTTTTGTTCTGGATTCAAAATGACACAGAGGAAAACACTACCCTGTTATTAAGATCGACTATTCTTAAGACACCACTAAAGGAGAATGAAAACAAATGTGGAGTGTTATTTGGTGAACTGTCCTTTAAGTGATTTTGGCTGTATTTCCTTTGTGGTATTTTAAATATATTTTGTTTGTTCGAGAATAGAGTTTGCTTGTCAAATCAAGGCATATGTTGTTACAAATATGTGACAACATATGTTACCCTTGCGAAATGAATAATTGTATACCTATTTTTTTTTAATCAAAAATACTAGAAACTGGTGTGTCCACCCTTTTATTCTCAGTATTGCATAGAAATAAACTGGGAGTACATGATATTTGACCAGGGTTGCATTTCTCAGCTTGTTTTACTTGAACTTAGTGCTGCTTTTGACAGTATAGAACACAACAATATTACATATTAGTCTATTTTAGATTCTACCAGTTAGTTTGTGTAAATGTATCTGTGTAAAATATGGTGCTCCGATGCTAAAGAAGGGTATTCCACAAGGCTCAGTTTTAGGTCCTTTGGTTTTCTCCTTGTACATACTCCCTTTAGGTGATTTCAATTATTAGAAAACGTGGCATTTCATTGTTATGCAGACTATACACAGCTTTCATCTAAATTGATCTGTGTGATCTGTGAATGTTTGCACCAACTGATGGCAATTTTGCTCCAACACTTACGTTACTTATGTCCTGAATAGTGTTAACTGCGCTGAGAAATCTGTGCATGGAGTGGTTTGAAATTGCCATTACTCACTGAGCTCAGCACAGTTTGTCCCAAAAACTAGTTTTATGTGTGAATTTTTGGCCCAATCACAACCAGGTCCCTTGCAGATTAATTCTTCTATGCATCTGTATGTGTTTTGTAACTGGATGATACAATGACAATATTTAACCATTGTCATTTCCAAAATCTCTTGTAAAGCACCATTTCTGTTTTTTAACATATAGTGAAGTGAATTATTGTTGAATTTATTTTATAAGATTAGGCTCGAGTGATGTCTTAAATGCTTTTCTTTAGCTCACTGAGATTCTCTGTTCTTCTGCATGAGTGCCTGACAACAAATGTTTTCTCTTAGCTAATATCCTGGAAAGGTTCGACAACCATCCTCCTCTAATCCTGCCCAGCAGCATTTTTAATCTGGAGCTGGGAAATCCCATCACAGAGCCAGGGCTGTTCACTCCTCTCCGGCATCTGCAGGAGTTTATCCAGTCTCTCCCAGACAGCCAGACACAGTCTGACCATCAGCCCTCACAGGTAAACCTCCTCCATGCTGTTAACTCCCTACAGACGCCACGGAAAATCAACAGACATGTATTGCAATGGTTTAAAACTGGTTTGACAGTAGATTTCGGAATGTTGGCCTGTAGTTTAGAAATAAGTAATTTTCAACTAAAGTCAGTATAGTTATTCTGCTATAGTTATAAACCTACCCTAGATTTCTTAACATTGTTGCTTAAATGACTGCTATTAAATTTGAAAAATAGGTGAACACAATTTTGGCTATTTTACACTTAAGACAACAGAATTGTATCTTCCTTGATGCGTTCTGTTTTCTTTCGCTTGCAACAAAACTGAGCATTGTCTACATTTCTTAATGACTTTCCCTGAGAATCAGACTTTTTAACGTACGATATCCAATCATAATTTTCATTAATAATTTGAGAATCTCTTACTCTTGCTTTGAACAAAACCCAAAAATATTTATATTTTAATAGAACCCAATTGACCATCATTTAAATCTCTTAATAAAACTGAAATGAAATAAAACTGAAATGACCATACCAATTACATACCAATAATACAATATAGCCAGATCTAAATCTGGAGGATCCCTCATATAATTGTTACATAATGTCATATCGCTCAGTCCTAAAACTTGCGCTATGTTAAAGCACTAATGCATTATTAACAACATGACTTTCTATAAAGATGCTTTGAAATTTTGTGTATCATGAAAAGTGCTATACAAATTGACTTGAAATATAGTATGTTAATTATTTTTTGGACATTTCGGATGCATTCAGGGCTCCTGCAGTAACTTGACTGAAGAGACAGCATCTGAACCAATCACCTGCCAGGACTCAGAGGAGAAGAATCAGCACCATGTCAGCTTGACACCTCCTCAGTTCCGGGGGTCTCACAGTAACCTGAGCTCGTGTGAGGCCGTCCTGACCCAGAAACTCAAGAGCCTGGAGCTCCAAAACAGCCTGCCGGGGAATACAGACCTGGGCTACCACAAGAGTCTGGCCCTCGACCCCTCCTGCCTGCTGACTCCTCCCAACACCCCTCAGAGTCTTGAGCAAGCCGAGCTTGAAGCCAGCCTGCTGGAGGGGGCAGTGCAGCAGACGGCACGCCAGCACAGGAAAGGTAAAATCACTGCACTATGCAGATGCTAAAACACATGCTGAACTGCATCTCTCCACCAGATTCATGCTAAAAACCTTTCCAGTTACAAGGATTATGAACAAAAAAATGGGAAAATACAATGTTTCTTGCATATGCATATAGTTTTACAAAGATTTAAACCTACTTGAGCACTAGTACTACTCATCTTTTGTTTGTTTATCAGCTGTACTCTGAGAAATATCTCAGATATTTTCATCCCATAGCGTGTTCCCTGATTTCAAAGGCAGGGTGTCTTGTCTTTGGAGGCGTATGGGAGGTGCTGGTGTTGATGTGGAGTTGGGTTTGTGTGCTCTGGCTGCACAAGGAAACCCCCCTTCTCTCCAGAATGCTCTCCCACATGTAATATATTTATACAATGAGCAATGGTCAGGTGAGGTCACTGAACAACTTCAAGAGTGAGTCTTTGTAACTGGTGTCGGGATCAGGTTAATATTCCGAACTGGCATTCCTGAGCACTTTATTTCTTCCTTAGAAGTACTAAAAGAATCGTTATTGGAAATGAAGCAATCAAAATTATGCCTAAATATGACTACCAAAATCAGGTAAATCATAAAGCTTCTGAAGCACATTAAAACCTATTGTAGAGACATTTGTAGGAAAACAATAATAACTCTTGCTGTTTCATCAATGACGAGAAATTATTTCCATGATGAAATCATAAAACGATCATAAATGAGGAGGAGGAGGAGGAGGAGGAGGATAGAGGCGAGGTGTTCACCGTAGAGCTGATGAGAGGACCTCATGGTCTTGGGCTGGCGCTGGTGGATGGAATGGTGAGAATGATCTTTGTTGTATTTTTCTTTTCTATGTATCATTCTGTACTTGTGTACTTGTCTCTCGCCCTTGTGCTAGTGTACATGGGTCTCCTAGACTATGTACAGTATGTAAATGTTTATGATTTTATGGAATACTTGCATGATGGTTGATGCAGATTAATGGTAATGAGAATTTATTAGGAATATGACCTGGATACAGGGGCGCGGGAAGATGGTTTAGGTTGGGGGGTGCTGTACGCGCAAGGGGGGTTGTGGGGTGCGATAGAGGCTATTTACACTAAGTGAAAATAGCAGTATTTTTTTTTGTGATATGCGATTTACACTAAGTGCAAATAGCTACAGATAGTTAAAATAGCAGGATATTCTGCTAATTACTTATTGCAAATAGTGTCAATTATCTGCACCTCAGCATTGTGTAATACATTATAAAACAGTGTGCAATAACCTATTGAGTGTAAATTCTGACTTTTTTCACAGAATTGTGAGATATAAACTTGCAATTGCGAGTTATAAAGTCAGAATTGTGTGATATAAACTTGCAATTGCGAGTTATAAAGTCAGAATTGTGTGATATAAACTTGCAATTGCGAGTTATAAAGTCAGAATTGTGTGATATAAACTTGCAATTGCGAGTTAGAGGGGGGAAAAAAGACTATGTTCTCCGAATTGCGAGTTTATAATCACAATTCTGAGAAAAAAAGTCAAAAGAAGAATGATACACGCTTTACCACCTACGCCACTGAATCTGATTAACGATGAACGACCGTCTTTTGTTATCTTGACCATCCCAATCACACGTTGGTGGGTGGAGTTAATGTAAATAGCCTCTGCCAACAAGGTGGGCTATTTGCACTTAGTGTAAATAGACACTCCGAAATGTTTTTTTTATTCCCAACAGAAACAGTTGCCCACAGAAAAAAAACCCAGCACCCCCACTTCCCGCACCTATGCCTGGATATGTTTTTGTTTTGACACACATACTCTCCATTTACTGGAGAAGGTGTGACATTGTAAGCAAAAGGCCCCTCTAATAAGTAGATTACATATTGTCTGTTGTGTGTAACGTTGTTCCTTCATTGCGATTATGCTGCTGAAATGACTGTTTTATATACAGAATGACAGTGCTTCATATAAACATGCTAGTCAAATGAAAACTGCAATGCAATTTGAGTGCTTGCTGCACAACTTCTCATCCGCTTCAAAACGAGGCCACTCAACAGCTGTTACGACTAAAAATAATCAGGGCTACACTAGATCTGTATACAGCCTACATAGACAGCATCTTAACTTCCCTTAGGGATGCTTCACCCAAAAATGTATCATCAATTCGTCATCACAAACCCCTAAGACCTACCTGAGAGGATTCTGTTCCTCCATTGAAAATCCATTCACCCAAAAAGTTCATAAAGACATTGCAGAAGTAATCCAAATGAATCAAGCAGTTGAATCCAAGTCTTCTGAAGAGACGCTATTGCTTTATATGGTTACGCACTCATTTTTTTGGTAAAGTGGGCCTATTTTATTTAATTATATGCATGATACACAGTTAGCATCTTCAGACTACACTCTTAAAAATAAAGGTGCTTCACGATGCCACAGAAGAACCTTTTTGTCTAAACGGTTCCATAAAGAACCTTTAACATCTGAAGAACCTTTCTGTTTCACAAAAGGTTCTTTGGGGCGAAAGAAGGTTATTCAGATTATAAAAAGGTAAGAAAGAGATGGTTCTTTAAAGAACCTTTGACTGAATGGTTCTTTGTGGAACCAAAAATGGTTCTTCTATGGCATCGCTTGAAGAACCTTTTAAAGCACCTTTATTTTTAAGAGTGTAGGTTTCTTCACTGAATTTGTCACAGTGTGTTATGGGATTGTCTTCTCTGCAAAGACCTTAGATTTTTGCTAAATGTGTTGCTACCTTCGATTTGGTTTTAGCCAAAGATGACGTGGCTGACGGCATAATCTTGTCGTTTTTAAAGCCTTCACATCAGAAGTGCTGCCCTAAAATGCTGCCGATATAAACTTGCAATTGCGAGTTATAAAGTCAGAATTGTGTGATATAAACTTGCAATTGCGAGTTATAAAGTCAGAATTGTGTGATATAAACTTGCAATTGCGAGTTATAAAGTCAGAATTGTGTGATATAAACTTGCAATTGCGAGTTAGAGGGGGGAAAAAAGACTATGTTCTCCGAATTGCGAGTTTATAATCACAATTCTGAGAAAAAAAGTCAAAAGAAGAATGATACACGCTTTACCACCTACGCCACTGAATCTGATTAACGATGAACGACCGTCTTTTGTTATCTTGACCATCCCAATCACACGTTGGTGGGTGGAGTTAATGTAAATAGCCTCTGCCAACAAGGTGGGCTATTTGCACTTAGTGTAAATAGACACTCCGAAATGTTTTTTTTATTCCCAACAGAAACAGTTGCCCACAGAAAAAAAACCCAGCACCCCCACTTCCCGCACCTATGCCTGGATATGTTTTTGTTTTGACACACATACTCTCCATTTACTGGAGAAGGTGTGACATTGTAAGCAAAAGGCCCCTCTAATAAGTAGATTACATATTGTCTGTTGTGTGTAACGTTGTTCCTTCATTGCGATTATGCTGCTGAAATGACTGTTTTATATACAGAATGACAGTGCTTCATATAAACATGCTAGTCAAATGAAAACTGCAATGCAATTTGAGTGCGACCGCATCCTCGCTGTCAATGGAGTCAGTCTGGTGGGGATGGACTACCACAGGTGAACACTTCTCCAGACGTTCAACATGCTGCTGAACAGTGCCATTTTGGGTTCAAATACATGTGTCTTGTATCCATTTATTAAAAAAACTAAAACATTGTGGGACACATTCCTTTTTTTGTGATATGGCTCTCTCTGGCTACCGCTAGTTTCTTGCTGCCGCTAGTGCTTCACTTTAAGCTTTTGTGACTTCCACTAATGAGAGTTTGTCAGCAGTTTTGGATGTTTTCGGTACAGGTGCTATCAGTCAGGGTTGTATTTTTCAAACTAATTTTGATATCTTATAATTTTTTTTTTTTCGGCATTCGTATGATTTTCAATGTGCTCCAAAACTGACCAAATGATCCTCTCGTGCTCTGTTTTCCTGTCAGTGGACGAGAACTCATCCGGACGTCCAGCGATTCGCTGCGATTACTGGTGGCCAAAACCGAATCCAGGAGCAGCAGCAGCAGCTTCATCACCAGATGCTGAGAAACAAGACTGGACTGATCTTTCCTCAGATATCAGCCAATGGAACTCAGATTTAAGCTGAAACCAAAGCAAAGGCAACTGAAATGGGTTCATTAATGTTGCTGTTTGTGGTGGTCTTTGTCTCCGGCTGTTGGCGGGAGTACAGACGTCTCAAATGGCCAGGACAATATGTGTTGATATCTTTTTTTAGCATTTATTTCACATGTAACATAGTCTACCAGATGTTTTCTAGTGTTTTATTTGTTTAGTGTCTGTACGTCTGTCATATTCTGGTTTCCTGAGAAAGCGTTGTGGTCCAGAGTTATTTCAGTTTCCTTAAAACTCAAACTGGAAATCCATTCTCTGTTCACAACATCCAAATACTGCTGGAAATATCAGTCCAAACTACATTCCTTTTTAATATTTAGCCAAACTATCACGATTAATGTGGTTTGTGTTGCTGATGTTATGAAACTACGTACTATTTTATATTGATGCCATTTCATATCATTATTACTCCTGATGTCAATCATAAATGTGCCAGAGAAACAGTGTTACATTGTGTCATCAGTGTTCATGATGGCCTTAAAAACAATGTTATAATATTTATATTGATAACGGTTCATGTACGAGTGTAATACATATCATTTTATTTCTTTTTAAAGAAAAGTTTATTGCTGTTTATTAATTTTTTTGCATCATAAAATCTCTTCAAAACTTTAAATATTAAACAAAAAATATTATTGAACAAAAACATATTACGTTGATCTTCCTGTAAAAAAAATAAAAAATTAATAATAAATAAATAAATATCGAGCTTAATCTCTTCAAAACTTTAAATATTAAGCAAAAAATATTATTGATCAAAAATATATTACGTTGATCTTCCTGTAATTTTTTTTTTAAATTAATAAAAAATAAATAAATATCAAGTGTGACCCAAAAATAAAGGAGCTAACGAGCTTAATTTTAAAGGATAAATAGCTCAAAAATATTGTATAAATATTGCAA